GAGCTAACCTCGACGTGGAACAAGCCGCTGTCTACCCGCGTCACGGTGCCCGGCTATGGACAGTATTTGGACCTGGATGGAGCCGAAAAAGCGGGTCTGGTCAACCCTCCGCCTATGGAGCCGTCCCTGGCAGCCTATCTGGCCCCGGCCCAAAACCACGGTGTTGGCGGCCCCACTACGCTCCCATCCAAGCACTGCAGGTTCTCCGCGTCGCAGCTGGAGAAGATTTACCGGGCACAGGCAGGCACGGCCCGTGCGCTGAGCTCGGTCACAATGCTCCAGACATATCAAGCCATATGCCTGGCGGAGCTTGGGTCACTCATGCCTTCCGACAGTTCACTGGCCCTCTTCTCAACGAGGTTAGAGTCGCTACAGATTACATCCTCTGCGTGTCCCGCTGTGCAGCGCTCTCCCTGGGCAGAGGGATGGCTTCTACAGTGATTGCGCAGAGGCACCTGTGGCTGACTCTTTCCGACGTTCCGGAGAGGGACAGGGCTGTTTATTTGGATGAGCCAGTGTCTGCTGAAGGCCTGTTTGGACAGTCGCTCAACGCTATTCAGACAAAATTTGAGCTGAGAAAGAAGCAGACAGAAGCCCTGCGCAGCATCATCCCCAGACGTGATGCAAAACAGCAGCGGCCTGCCAAGCCGACACCGCCGCCTCCCCCCAAGAGGGCAGCGCCGCCTGCGAGTTTGGGCTCCCAGCCGGTGAAGCAGCAAGCGCCGGGCCAAACCCCACGCCAGTCGGCTTGGAGCAAGGGTCCGCCACCAGGCCTCCAGAAGGGTTCAGCGCCTAGGAGGAAGAAGCTGCACTCATCCTAGCTCCGGGAGTGGGCCGGGAGGGGCTCCAGCAGCAGGGAGACACTGCTGCCCCTCATCTGTTGCCGCCAAAGAGGCCGCGTTCATGTTTAGTTCTGGGCGAGAAGCATTGCACTCCCCTGACACAGTCTCCCAAGCACAACCCCCCCACACACACAAGTGCCCCAGTGTTGGTGCCTTCTGTTCACTGTGTGAATGTTGTAAATGTGCATTTATTGAACTCAATAAAAGGTTCCATTTTGTACCCAAAACAATACCAAACAAATAAACCAGGTCAAACTGGTGGTGCCGTTCCCCTCTGGCACGCCAGGGGGCGACAGCCCATTCCCTACAGTGCTGCAGGTCAGTCGGCTAGCTGTCCATCTCTCTCAATGGCGCGCATGCGCAGTCTCACCGTGGGTAGAGAGGACTGTTGCCATGGGTTACCGGTTACAGTTCAGGGCCCGGCCACCCCGTTTCCACTCTATAACAAACACTGCTAACACTCAGACAGCTACTGAGCGCGATCGGACCGGGAGATTGGTTTACAACTATCGATCTTACAGACGCTTACTTTCACGTAGCGATACACCCGGACCACAGGCAGTTTCTAAGGTTTGCATTCGAGGGCACGGCCTACGAATACCCGGTGCTGCCGTTCGGCTTGTCACTTGCCCCCCGCACCTTCACAAAATGTGTCGAGGCGGCGTTAGCTCCGCTCCGGGAGAAAGGCGTTTGCATATTAGCCTATCTAGACGACTGGGCTTTGATCGCGAGCTCCAGAGAGAGGGCAGCGGCGCACCTGTTGCTGACTCTGTCACATGTCCAAGCGCTGGGCTTCTCTGTGAATTTATGGAAAAGTTCATTGATCCCGAGTCAGCAGTTTTCTTTTCTCGGGCTGGAAATATGTTCGGTTTCAAACCGAGCACGTCTGTCAGAGCACAGGGTGGCAGCATTTCACTGCTGCCTCACTCAGTTTCAGTTGGGATGCAAACTACGTTTTCGGACGATCTTACAGCTGTTAGGCATGATGGCATCTATGATCGCTGTAGTGCCATTCGGGCTGTTAAAGATGCGAGCGTTGCAATGCTGGACTCAATCTCATCGGCTGTGCGCGCCGCGTCACCTCCAGAGGAGGCTGACTATATCTCCTTCTTGTCGGTGCTCCTCCCGTGGAGGGAACCCAGTTTACTACAACAGGGCTCCCCTATAGGGAGGGCGTCTTTTCGCAAGGTGGTGTCCACAGATGCCTCCCTGAGGGGGTGGGGGGCTCTGTGCGAAGGTGCAGCGGTGAGAGGGGTGTGGACGTCGGTACAATGCAGGTTCCACATCAACCACCTGGAGCTGTTAGCAACTTTCTTAGCTCTAAGGCATTTTCGTCCGGTTCTGACAGGCCATCACGTTCTGATCAGGACAGACAATACAATGGTAGTTTCCTACATAAACAGGCAGGGAGGGACCCGCTCACTTCCCCTGTTGAAACTGGCTTGCTCTCTGTTGCTATGGTGCAGTGCTCATTTTCTGTCTCTCAGAGCCACTCATGTCCCGGGCCACCTGAACCTGGGGCCGGACCTCCTCTCCAGGGGAGGTCCTCTTGTGAGGGAGTGGAGGTTGCACCCATTTGTGGTGACTCAAATATGGGACCGGTTTGGCAGGGCGGAAGTTGACCTTTTTGCCTCCAGAGCAAATACCCACTGCCCCCTGTTCTTTTCCATGACTGACCACAACGCTCCCCTAGGGATGGACGCGTTAGCGCACACATGGCCCGACACGCTTCTGTATGCGTTTCCCCCAGTGGAGATGATTTTGTCAGTTCTGGAGAGGGTGCGCCGACAGGGTCTCTCTCTGATCCTGGTGGCCCCTCACTGGCCAGCGAAGTCGTGGTATGCCGAGATAATAAGTCTGCTGGCAGCGAGGCCCTGGCAGCTTCCCCTCCGCAGGGACCTCCTCTCCCAGGCGGGAGGGGAGGTGGTTCATCCGCGCCCAGAGCTGTGGCGGTTGCATGCCTACCTGTTGAAAGGTCCAATCTAATAGCTAAGGGTCTGCCCCCAAGTGTGGTGGCAACTATCCAGAGTGCGAGGGCGTCGTCAACTAGGTGTTTGTATTCTTACAAATGGCGGGCTTTCGAGCAGTGGTGTCAAGACCGAAATGTACTCCCATTTCAATGCTCTATTGTGGGTGTTTTGACATTCCTCCAGGAACTGCTGGATAAGGGTCTCTCTTTCTCCACAATTAAGGTTTATTTGGCCTCTATATCTGCATGCCATGTTGGTTTTGATGGAGTGACACCAGGCGCTCATCCTCTTGCCATGCGTTTCCTAAAGGGAGTCCGCAGGCTGAGGCCTGTGATTAAACCCAGCGTTCCCTCATGGGATTTAGCTTTGGTGCTTGAGGCGCTTTGTGTACCCCCATTTGAGCCTACTGAGTCTGCAGATATGAAGTTTCTTTCATATAAGACAGCACTACTTCTCGCTTTGGCTTCTGCAAAGCGGGTGGGTGACCTGCATGCGTTATCTGTACATCCCTCGTGTACTCAGTTCACTTCGGATGGCTCTAAGGTTACATTGCGCCCAAATGCAGCGTATTTGCCTAAGATTATCCCTGCAGCCTATAGCTCTATGTCGCTTGAGCTTTTGAGCTTCTGTTCCCCTCCGTTTGCTTCCGAGGAGCAGAGGAGGTTACATTTCTTGTGCCCCGTGCATGCGCTACGTACTTACATAGACCGCACACAGAGTGTGCGTTTATGTGACCAATTGTTTGTCTGTTTTGCTAATCCGGCTAAGGGTAAAGCTCTGTCTAAGCAGCGGCTTTCTCACTGGATTGTGGAGGCTATCTCCCTAGCATACAACAGCAGGGGTCTTCCATTGCCTCACGGTGTGAGGGCACATTTGACCAGGGGCATGGCAGCATCATGGGCTTTATTTAAAGGGGTATCTGTTAGTGATATCTGTGCTGCAGCCAGTTGGTCATCACCGCACGCTTTTGTCCGGTTTTATCGTTTGGATGTGACAGCCCCTTCGGTGGCTCAATCTGTCCTTTCTGCTGGGTCCACGATGCACTGAAGTGCTGGAGGTGAACTCTGGTTCGGTGGCTGCTCTGCGGGGCGTGTATACATGTCCCATACTATATGTGTTGTACCGAGTGAATCGACTGAAAGGAAACGAAATGTTGTGACTATAACTTCTGTTCCCTGAAGAAGAGGAACGAGGTAAAACACTAGGTTGCCCCGCTGCGCAGCTGGGCTCGGTGAAGAGCGGCTATCGAACTGAAGAATGACTGTGGTGACGCAGGTGTATGTGCGGGCAGGGGGCCTCACATGCGTCAACACAGATCATCTGCCTTAAAGGCGTGAATAGAGGTTTCTTCAGTCAGGCCATGCGGGGGCGTGATATCCCATACTATGTGTGTTGTACCTCGTTCCTCTCCTTCAGGGAACAGAAGTTATAGTCATAACATTTCGTTCTCATTGTGATGTCACCTTACCTCAGCAGTGATGGAACCACAGAGCTGGCTGATGAGAGTGAGCTGATGCTGTTCAGTGTTGCCTTGCATTATAGGACTTCTGGTCCACATCTCTGCCATGATGCAGCCTGCTCCCCACAGGTCAATGGGTGGACCGTAGTCTCGCTCACCTATGAAAAACAAATAAAATAAATAATGCAATTCTTTTGTCTTCTTTGATTCAATCAATTACGAAACACTCTGTAAACTCAGCATCAGTGAGTGCTGTACATTACTGAATGCCTTTCTGACATTTGATGACAATGACGGAGATAACAGTATAACTGCCAACAATAGGTTTACGGTTCATTTGTGATTAATTTAGGAACTGACATAGTAATATGAATAGCAGCAGCTGTGTGCAATGGCTATACTTAGGGCAGCTCTGGGGCTGTAGCAGGACCCTGCCAACACTCAGTGAATTACACTGCATCCATTTATAAATGACAATAAGACAAACGAGTGCATATGCATATATTTCTGCATTTGTGCATTGTCTTGAGTTTTATGGTTGTCTCTCACCTAGCAGCAGCTCTGGAGGTCTGTACCACAGTGTGACCACACGGTTGGTGTAGCGGTTCCCCTGGCTGTTCTTAGCCAGACTGAAGGCTCGAGCCAAACCAAAGTCAGCCAGCTTCAGGACACCGTCTCTGGTGATGAGCACATTGGCTGCCTTCATATCTCTGTGAAGGATCTGATCCAAGAGAAGGCATTATTATGATAGAGAACACAAAGCTCTAGGAACATTTACATGCATATTCACTTTTTTTTTTTTTTTTTTTTTTTTTTTTTTAAAATAGGACAATTGTTGTTGTTACATTTTTTTTTCTGAATTTGATACGGGTCTTGTGAACAACATAATCCAATTGGATTTCCTGAATTAAACCTTATTCCAAATGTAGCATTTTTCTACTAATACATGTAGGATATTCCGGTATGATTTGGGTTTTAATGGCATTATTTGGGCAAGTATAACACACGTCCTCTTGTCTGTTTACGGTCGGCTATGTGCGTTGTCATAGATACATTGTACACAAACCAAGTCACCAACAATTTGCAGAGGCTGCAGATGCATGGCCAAAAGAAAAGCCAACATTTGCAGTCGGAAGGAGAAACAGACCTACTTTTAAACATTGTGAAAGACTTGGATATCTACAGGTTTTTGGAAACACGTAAATACCACAACACCGACCTTTTCAAAAAGGTGACTACACAAATAAAAGAGGAAGGCTGTGTTCACAAGGTTGAACAAGTGTGCAACCAGTAAAAAATATCCTGTTTTGATGCAAAGAAGCAAAATGATAAGCAGCTCCAGCCATTCCACTTCTCTATATTTTGATGTGCTAAACAACACGTTCGGGCACGTTAAGTGGAGTATGCACGACTGCATGTAAATGGGAGTATATATTTTAATATTTTAGTTGCGAGTGAAATTCTTCAGCTCTCTGTAATAGAATTTACATATACTTCTGCTTTACCTGTCAATGGAACCAGTGGATGGTTATCCTTAATGCTGCCTCACCTTGTTTCTGTGGATGTAGTACAATCCATTAAGCAGCATCTGCATGACCTTCTTGATCTCTGCCAGGGTGAACTTTACGTTGGAGTTGCTAAGCAGCCCGGCCAGGTCATGCTCACAGAAGTCAAACACCAGATAGATGCTGCCTTTGTACCTGTTGAACTGAGTAGCTGAAAGAACAATAACAGGGGTAGACAGAAGAGGAAAGAATGAAAACTTGTACCAACAAATTAATTTTATGCAACACATGCTTCCGAGAGTTAAAGATGCTGTGGCCCTGCGCCTACTTGAGGCATCAAAAAGCTTTCATTTGGGTGCTTCGGTACTGAGAAAACAGGTGAGGGGAACCACAAAGGAGTAACCTGCACACCAAAGAAATGGGCTGGAAAAAAGCCACATTAAGAGTCCACAGGCTGAGATCAATATAAAGAAGTCCAAAACTTTAATACGCAAGTGCAAATGCTATTGATTACACACAACAGAGGTAAAGAAAGGCACACCCTACCAGGTGTGGCCAATCTAGCAGCTGAAGCTGATATTGCTTAACGAGATGTGACATATTTGTGAATACAACTACTATATTCAGAAGCAATGTCACAAAAGTGATGATTATACAATTCTTGGTAATAAAAAGACCCTACAACAGAGATATTCAAATGTAAATTATATGGAAAGAAGATATGTACAACAACAATAATACTATCACTAAACCATGCGTGTGAATAAAAAACATCTACATAGGTACAGGAGATCCATGCTGGCACATGCAGATTGGGATGGAAAAGGGCCACCTACAGAAAACAAGACCAATTAAGTGTTTCATTAAGGTCTAGAGGCTTTTCAGTTTTAAGGAGAAAAATCCATCTGCTTTCAGACTGAAGGAGTTTTGTTTCAAGGTCTGCGTGTCTACAGCTGGGATTCACTCCATCAATACCGCAGAATCTAAGTTCAGTAGCTGGATGTTTGGCTTCCTGGAAATGTCTAGCTACAGGGGATTTAGGATCACCTGTGGATGGAGCTTCTGTGTTCACTGATTCTGATTCTGAGTTGGCAGTTGGTTTTACATATACATACATATACACACACACACA